TGAGATGTTGGCACGTGTCTGACTCCGATTTGTGGTGTTGTTTCTGTCTTGTCGAATGCGATAATGTAGGATGGCTGGACCGCGCTCCATTATGCAGCATCTAACGACAATACGGATGTTGTGTCGTTGCTGTTGGATCGAGGTGCCGACGTGAATGCTGTTGAGAAGGTATGTATTGACGTCGACAGTGAGGAGTGCTGTGGCGGTGGTGTATGCATGTGTGGTGAGATGTTAGGACGTGTCTGACTCCGATTTGTGGTGTTGTTTCTGTCTTGTCGAATGGGATAATGCAGGATGGCAGGACAGCGCTCCATTATGCGGCTGAATACGGCAATACGGATGTGGTATCATTGTTGTTGCATCGACGCGCCAACATTGATGCAGTTGATAAGGTCAGTTAGTGCTGACCGGAGTTTTACCTTTGTTGGTACTCGTGTCTGAGATTGTAATTCGTGTGAATAGGAGAACCGCACTCCGCTCATCAGCATGATCTGGACAATTTCGAAAAGGGATCTAGATGAAGCAATTGCCGTTGCACATTTACTCTGCTCAAGTGGGTCGAATCCGAACTATTTATCTGTATCGGTCGCCAAGGCGTCTCTGGAACAACACCGGATGGGACTACTGGCGTGTGCGCATCACTGGCATGAATGTTATGCTAAGGGTGTATCATTGACAGAGATTCCGTCGGAAGCCATTGAAGGCGGCGAAGACGCGGTCAGGACCTTTCTTGACGATTTGGAGGAGACTTCTGCGGATCAACTGGTCTATCGGTCCAAGGTCTGTATCGTCGGTCCAAGCACCTGGGGCAAGACAAGTCTTGTCAAGTCGATGACTAGGAACGAGCCGTCGTCAGAGGATATTAAAGTCCGAACGATCGGTATCGACCTGTTTCCGTTTACATTTAAGGAAAATAGCAATGATGGAACGACGTCGAAACAGCACGATGTGACATTCTGGGACTTCGCGGGTCAAGACATCTACCATGTCACGCACGCGCTGTTTTTTTC